TCCCCTTAGGAATTCCCACACTTGAGTTTCTATCCAGCTAACTGCTTCCTAGCAATCTCTATTAGGTACTAAACCACCTCAAAGCCAGCTGATGCCCGCCACCTCACCTGACACTCTTAGTCTCCTGGGCTTTTCTCCCTCTCCATCTCCACAAACCCATACCATCACCAAGATATGGGCAGTTCAAGGCTCCAGCCTCCCAATCTCACCCCCTATTACAGCCAGCAACACACCACTTACGGATACTGACGGTTTCTGAACATCACTGGGCAATCCCACAATTCCACAGCTTCAAATTATTTGGGAGATACAAACAAAAACCTACCATAGATGATTCCACTTTACAGGACTGCATGCAGTATGTCCTTGACTAAACTCATCAATCCTCCAGCACAGGCCATACTTTAAAGCAGACCACCCACCATCTTTCTCTCAGGTTAATACAAGAAACTCCATGGACACCTGAGTCGTGCCCGGGCCCTCTCCACACACTTCCCAAACCACAACCCAGCCGGCACAGCAGCAGCCTTCCTCTCTCCTGGGAGCCGTACTCCTCTAGGGAAAAGCCCTCAGCTTCATCCTCAAGTTCATAAGCTGCCCCCCCACCAAGTCCTTCTTGAAAAGCTGGCTTCTTCTCTCACAAACCCTGCCCATGCTCCTTTCCACCAACCAAGGCTGGACATCCCGTCCCCCTCTCACTCCTTCACACGCCTGCCGTACAGCAAGGAGCTCTACTCTACAGGGACACAGCAAGTTCCTACTCTGGCCTATCAGTAGTGACGTATGCCCCTAAGCCAGCACTTGAGAGCCACAGTTTGAGGCCAGCCTAGTCTACAGAGCAAGTTCCAGAACAGCCAGCCAAGGCTACACAGAGAAACCCTGTCTCGGGATAGAGGGGGAAGTCCCTACTTTGAATGCACACCACCATCAAGCACGCAGGCGAGCATGCGCACATCCACCTAGGACAGACTGCCTGCCAAGATAAGCTCACCTCACTGAAACTCACTGTTACCTTTCAACTCCTACCTACCTAAAGCAGAGCCTGAGTCTGTGTACGAGACTCAGCAGTAAAGCACTTGCCTAGTTAGTATATGAGAGGTCCTGGACCCGTATCTCCAGCACCAGGAAGAAAATCCAGCAATCGGGCAACTCTGATTCCTACCCTTCCTGCTCCAACACAGCAACCCGACAAAAGTGTCGCCAGCTACTTGTAGGAAAGAGCTTTGTTCACAACCAAATACAGCACTGTAAGAATGCCATCAATCCTCAGTAGCGCCTTCCAAGGTGGACACGCAGAGCTTAGGGGTGGGTGGCAACTCAGTGGCCTCTGAAATCACGCCTTGCAGACAGACATGTGATTCCCAGCTGCATGGCTTGTCACCTCTGTGCCACATCACATAAAGAGGCTCAGAAGTCACTGAGAGAAGAGCACAGATGCAGCTTCAAGGAGCACCTGGCACATGAGGAGACACCTAAGTAGAGACTGTGTGTGGTAGCTTTCTCTTCAGCTCACACACAAGGAAGGCAAAGCTACTTGCAAATTTATCCCAAGTTTGGAACCAAGTTACAGTAATATAGAGGCCAAATTCTCGCCTACAGGCCCCAAGCTCTCAGAGGTCTTGATCCTGCTCTCTGGAGCCCCCGAGTCACCCTTGGGCAGAAACAGAGGGACACTGAGGGATGCCGAGGGAGGGGGGCGCACACAGAACAGCGCGCAGCTCACCTTCCCACAGCCGGGCACCTCAACGCCGTCCACGGGCCGGGGGATCTCGATGGACTTGACCAGCCCATACTTGCTGCACTCGTCTCGAACGTCTTCCACAATCTCCTCATACTCCTCGTCGTCCAGCAGTTCCTCAGGCAGCACCATGTTCATGAGACACAAGACCTCAGTCGGGTGGCCGCCCATCTGCACCTGAGAGCTCATCAGGCCGGGGACTTGAAGGGTCACAGGTGTCTGATTGATGGTACTCTGTTGGGTCAGGGAAAAGAGACACGTCACACAGTGGCTCAGACTAGCCTCAAACAAATCAAGCCTGTGCCTCTCACACCCAACTAGGGGGGGACCATCCCTCTACTTAAACACTTATGAACCCAGCGCCCAAATCCCCGCCCATGAAAACTGGGGCACAACTTAAGAAAACCTTCCCATCCAACCCTTCCCACCCCCAGGGTCCCTCTAGCCAATGGAAGATGACGTGCCGGGAGGCTCACCAGCGTGGCATTCTTGGCTCCCACACTCGCCCTCTGCACAAGCAGCTTCTTGTCCCCTAGCTGCATCCCATTCAGCCCCGCAATGGCCTACGGTCAGAGGACGAAGGGTGGAAGGGGTGCGGGAGAGGCACAGGTCAGGAACCAGGGGACCCAGCACTTCCCCCAAAGAACCAGGCATTGGTGGGGAAACAGTAGAAGGCAAAGGGCATTGCACTTAGTTTGGAAAGAGGCAAAACCAAGGGAAAAGGAGTAAGTCCCCACAGGTGCTGTTTCAGACCAACCACCTCCCACCCCAGACTGAGGAGACGAGACTTAGGCGTGAAGAAGGGCAAATGGAGGCAGCAGCAAGGCTCTCCAGGCTCACCTGATCTGTGACGTTGATGTCCACGTACTCACAGAAGGCATAGCCCTTGGAGAGCCCTGTGGCACTATCCTTGACCAGGTTGAAGGCTTTCAGAGGACCAAAGGATGTCAACAGTTCCTTTACCTGCAGGAGGCCAACAATCCATCAGGGTTTGGTCAGGCTGAGAGGGGTGGCTAGCAAGGGGGCAAAGGATTTACCTGGTCATCATTCAGGTAGTTGGGCAAGCCCCCGATGAACAGTTTGTGGGCAGAGTCTGGGACTACAGTGGATACAACTCCTAAAGACAAAATGTATAAAAACTTCAGTTCCACTACAGTGTTTCCCAACTTGAGAAAGCTGGGAGAGGTCACATACATGCATGTCTTTCAGCACTTGCAAGAAGGCTAAGGCAGGAGTCTCAGTCTCAACATAAAATCTACAATGAGCACCTTCCCAAGTCCTATCCTACCTAAGACACCTAATAAAGGTGGGAGGAAGCCGCACACCATATACCCCATATTCTGACAAATACACAAGTACATACATAACGCCAACAACTGAATGCTCAAGGGCCCCTCCCCTGAGACCTGACAACCACCCAGGAGCATCTCCTTCAGTGGTTCAGTCCTTTGCCTCCAGGGTCCTGAAGGGGCAGACTGTTTCTGAGGTCGTGTGACAAGGAGCTGAGAGGGGGCTGTTAAAATCTCAGAACATGCCTCAGTGTTGGCTGCCACTGCAGTATGACTAGTGGCCAACTCTGGGAAGCTACGTTCAGGAGTCATTAATGCTTCAATGGAACTGCATGGTGCTGTCAGCTAGGGAGTTTTGCTTGCCTTCTCGACTCAACTCTGGACCCGTGTGGTAACTGTTGACCTGACAGTTCTGGGTGGCACCATGCAAGTTCTTCAGTATTAATTCTCAGAGGCATCATCAGGCCTCAGTTTAAAAGTCCCATTACACAGCCTCCCCCTTTTCAGCATCACCCCCATACTAAGTGCAGCGGTCCATCCTAATCTACAAAAGCACCAGGTAAGATACTAAACGGACACCCCACCCCCTAGGACCTCAGCCACTGTGCCCTATCCCTCTTCCAGGCTATCAGTTGCCCCGCTTTAACTCTCTAGCCCCAGAGAACCGCAACCATCAATCCGGGTACTTCCAGCCACCAGAGCTGCACCCCGGTGGTGGAGGCATGGGGACCACAAGTGACCTACTTCAAGGGTCACCGTGACAAGCAGAAGCATTGGGAGCCAGGCCATATTCAGTGCTGCCATTGGCCACAATTTCAAAAATCTACCATCAGGGGCTGGAGAGACGGCTCAACAGTTAAGAACACTTTTTGTTTTTGCAATGGGCCCAGGTTCAGCTTCCCAGCAACCTCATGAGTTCCTTGGGCACCTGAACGTATATGGTACACAGACATATATGCAAGCAAAAACACTCATACACATAAAATGAAACTAAAAAAGAAAAAATTTAAATGTACTGCACTAGGTGCAAAATTCCCAGCTATAATACAAAAGGAGTCAAGTCCTAAGACTAGGAAAAAGGTGCCAAACTCAACAGTGCCTTTCAAAAGCAGCTCAGCAGGCTTGGCTCTGCATCACTCTCTGACAAGGGAGCAGCAAGGCAGGCACCAGCAACACCTGGACCCAAGCCCGATCTGGTAATCACTGTGCCATACCTCAGCGTCAGCCCAAGGCAAGCGAACTAGGTGCGAGTTTAGAGTTTAATTCTTGGCTGTCTAGACCGACGTAAACAGGGAGAACACCACACCACAGACACAGGACACAGACACAAGCACTCTGAGCCACTAATCAATCCCAGGGACACAAGGAGCTAGCAATGGTGACCAAGAAGAGCTTCATTCACTTCTGTGGAAACACAGTTCAAACTTCCACTGCACGTGATGTCAAGTTCTGGGCACACTCTCTCACCAGGGGGGACATCAGCCTTCCAATTTACAAACTACTGTTTAACCCAATGATCAAGATGTCTGTTCAATTTCGTCAGATGCTTTTCCTCTTTAGTCTATGTAGTCACATGTTTCCCTCCTTTGCTAAGTTCAGAAAATAAGGGGTATAAAGGTAAATTCCACTTATTGCCGCCTTTTCCAAAGTGGTAGCAATGTACCAAGTCACAGGCAGAGCTGGAAAGCCAAGCCTCTTCAGGCTGGCACATCTCAGAGAGACTCAGGACTCATCTTGCTACTGTTTAATCAAGCAGAGAGTCCCTGTGGAAGAGGGTTGCCACTTAGCAGCATGATCCAAAGCAACTGTGCCTGCCATCTACCTGTTTCAGAACAAGGCTGACACGGAAGAACACAGAGAAAAGCTGAGCAGACTCCAGGGCCAACCTGTACAGCCCAGGGTACCTGTAAATTTTATAACCATGAACAAAAAAATTAACCACCATTCCTGGCTTTCCTCCTCTGAGAAATGACAATCCCACCTTCTACAGAGTATGCCATGTCAAACTGATTAACCCTCCACAGAGGCAGGTGTTGTGTGGTACATGCTTGTGATCTCAACACCAGAGGCAAGGAGTCAAGTTGGGAGACCAGTCTGGGATACAGTTACACCATATACAAAAAATCTCTAGGGCCAGATATGCTGGTGCAAGACGGCAATCCCAACCACACGGGAGGCTGAATGCAGAGGCAACAAAAACTCAAGGCCTCCCTGGGCAACAGCGACCCTGCCTCAAAATACAAGTACAAAGGTTGAGAAAATCATACTTGCTTAACATATACAAAAGCACTAAGTACAATTCCTAGCACCACAATGACGAAAATAGCTAACAATAAAAGGCCCGACTGTGTGTCAAAATTTACTTGTAAACACAAGCAGTGGGCCAAAACTAACTACCAAGTTATAATTTGCTGACTGAAGACTAAAAGATCCAGGGACAGGAAGCACCTGAATACTACTACACAGTAAAACCAGCAGGTGGCTAAGTAAAGAGCAACCCAAACAGTGAATTTGGTGGCAAGACATAGAAACAAGATGTTCTATAGCTTCATCTGAGAGACACACAAGTCATCGAGCAAGCTGGACCTGGTGGCATGGGCCTCTAATCCCAATTACTCAGGCAGCTAGGGGGCAGGAGGATCCCAAGCTCCAGGCCTGTCTGGGCAAACTTAGTGTGACCCTATTGTGGTGGTATCTTGTCTGTACAAATAAAACTTGTCTCAAGATCAGAGGGCAGAGTTTGCCACTAGCTAACCACAGAGATCCGGATGTCTGTCTGTATACACAGACAGGAAGTGATATGGCTGGGCGGAGAAATGAATACAGACAGGAGGAAACGGGAACTTGGGTCTCTCTTCTGCTGGGAAGCTAGAGAGGTAAAGGTGGCTTTGGCTTGCTCCTCCTCCTCTCCCGTCTTCAGACATGCTGTCTATTTTTAGAAGCAAGGTATCACCACGCCCTACCTCAAGGTAAGAACTTAAAAGTGGGCCTGGGATTCAGGCCAGAGAGAATGCTCTCCCATCAAGCACAAGACCTTGGTTGGCTTCAACCCCAGTAACACAGTGAATCTTCTTCAAGCAGTACATTGAGGAGCAAGTAAAGTTTTAGAACTAGGTAGATAAAGATTGGACAGAAGTCACTAACCTCACCAGATCTTCCCATGAAAATGTATCTGGTAGTCAGAGCCCTGACCCCAAGTCCTCCACTGCCAGAAATGTTACCCTGCTCAGAGTGGGCACCCTCCAATGCTGAGCATCAGCCAGCAAGACCCCCACATTCTGAAAGCCCCAATCAACCTCAGACCTGGGCCTCACTCACTCAGCCAGAGTCCCCTACAACCCAGCAGAGCAAACAGCCTACATTATTATTTCCACTTACACCCCATCTCATCTGCCAAACGCTACTGCCCTTTGCAAACTACAGCCTGCAGGATGGCACACATGCAGGGCCTTTACTCTCAAGCATTAATGCACAATGTTCAAAATCTATTTTTTTTTCAATGACCCTGTCTGTAGGTTTCACACTGGAAATCCATTGTGACCTGCCAATCAGAGAGGATGGTAAATACAACTACTGGAAACAGCCCAGAACGCATGCCATACAGATACATAGACTCAGTGAGCTTGACAAGCTAGGACCACACACCAGGACCATACGGAGGTCTATTGATAGGCACCTGTAGGCATGCCCGCATGCCCTGAAATTCCAGGGCCAAAAGACCAAGGCAGGAGCAATGCCCAGTTGGCAAGTCCCACCCTTCCCAACACCTCTGATCTGGACCTGGCTGACATTTACCAACTGTGCATTCTCAGATCACAGCTCACTACCTCAGAGGTCCAGGACACCTGCCAAGCTGGGAGAATACTCACAGGGTCCAAAGCACACACAAGCTGCACGCAATGCAGGGACCCCACTCACCAGGCACATAAACAGAGGGATTCTCCGACATGCCAGGCAGTGGCTGGTAGTCATGAGGCCTTCGAATCTTCAATGACTGGCCCTGGAAGATGATGCCATCAAAGGCCATGGCCTGGGTCGTCTCATCCACTGACCGGAACTGAAGGAAAAGGAGAATAGTAGAATTAAGGGATAGGCTGGGACTAGACTAGACCAGTGCCCAAGACTGTAACTCTCCTCCCAATTGTATAAACAAATACCATGTACCAAATCCTGGACTGGCCAATGAATGGGAGAACAGCCAGGAGTGTGCTTCTAGAAAGCAAATACCCTGGCAAGCACATAATCAGAAGCTCTGACAGCCACTGCTACATGCTACTTAACCTATAAGAAATGGCCACCCCCCCCACACACACACACTTCCAACAGCCAATGCTGGAAAGGGACCAACTGCTGAGAAGGCAGCATGGAGAAGTTAGGTCAACTGAGTGAGGTGGCAATGACAGCCCAGGCTTTCTGATAAAGTGACATTTAAGCTGAAGTTTCCAACAGTACAAGTCAAAGTGGACTGACTGGCAGACTGAGAAAGAAGGAGCACTCAGAAACTTCAGCAGTCTACACCACTTCAGCACCTCCACTGTTTGTGGGTGTGGCCCGAGTTGAAAGCTAGGTCTTTATGGACAACAGGGGAATAAATGCCTTGAAAGGTGACATAAACATCTGGGGTGAACTGCTTCAGCCTAAGCCCCAAATAGAAAGAAGCATATTGTGACCGTGTAGCCTCAACAGAGTGGACGGAACCAAAACAGTCTGCAGGAACCAACAGAGCAAGCAGGGGC